CACCAATGGAGAATCAACAATGGTGCCATCCACCAACCTCTTCTATTTCACACCATGTTTGTCAAATGTGGTGTGCCTTCTTGTATCTATAAATAGAGTGCTCATTTCATCATTTCAAATCATCCTTGAGAGTGATCAATCAACCTTGAGAGTGTTGAAACACAACCAAGAAAGAGTTTTGGAGTGTTTGAGAGTTTTTTGTTTAGAGTTTGTAAATCTCGTGTGTTTTTATTCTTGTGAGTAATAGAAACGTGTTTTTCTCTCAAATTATGCTCTTGATCTTGGGATGATACCACAACAATTCCCCGGCCACACGCTCAGCAACATAATTCTAGCTCGGAAAAGCTAAAGATTATGGCGTCGGGTTCTGAAACGTACCCGGATTCCACAACCTGAAGTCGCAAGAGCTGTTAAAAGAGGTTCAGCTAGATTACTCAACTTTAAATACTGCAATTGTCAACAATGTAGTTTCCTCCACTAGAGAAGCCATCAGCAATATCCCAGAAGGCCTCCAGGCATATTCCGCGAGCTGCCCTCTCCTTTTATTTTATTTTTTTATCCTTTTTGTTTTGTTCGTTGTCAATTTGTGTTTTAGCTTGATTACTGAACGCTGAGAAAATTATATTTTTGGATGATTATGTTTGCTAATGCTTTTTCCATTTTCTTTGGTAGGTTAATGCTGATGTTGCACCCGGTTTTGTTCGAGATGTTGGCGCAGATAAAGTGGAGTTTAAGTTTAGGACGCCCAAGTCCTTAGTTATTCAATTCAGTGTGCGGTCGGGCTGGATGTGAACACAGATCTTTTCTTGAGGCTCTCGAAGGTACTTCGTCCAACGTTCGATTTCCCTTGAGCAAAATAAAATTTTGGAGCCATAATCTTTTTAAGGTGTTGGGTGGATGTGCAATCATTGCTAACATTAAACTATGTACTAAATGTGGAGGTGTAGAAAAGTTGTTCTTTTAGGGGGCCTACATTTGTAAGTGCTGTTTTAATTTGGCTACATGAGAAAGTTGAAATCAATTCTTGTTATCTTTTGGTTAACAGATGATGTCTTGAGCAGGATTTAAGGTGATATAGGCTGCTCGAGTCACCAACAAATTTCTGGTCCTCCGTCCATGTTACATATTCATTTATGTTCAATTTTTATATTTAATAAGTGTGAAACATTGAGGTCCCTTAATGATTTTTGTGGCGGCCTTGTGGAGTTGCAGTAGTCCATAAGAGTCTCATTTTTTTCACAACCTCTTGTAAATAATAATAACAGGAATGCTCTTCTAAATATAAAGTGTTTTATAATCATGGATGGCCTACAAGTATTATATATGTTTCTGGCATGGTGGTTGGTGTCAGTTGTAGAAACAATTTGAACCAAATCACTCTATACTCGACTCAAAAATCATCATAAAAGACTTGTTTGGTCATGGTTTATTGAGTTACAAACCAAGCCTGAAGGTTTCTTTAATTTCGTAAAATGTGATGCTAGGATTGAGCTTGACTTAATTGTGTACAAATAGTGAATTTTACGTGAAATATAGGTTATTCATGAAAGACTTTTTTGTTTTGATCTGCTTTTTAATGAGTGTGGTATTGAGATGTGGAATAGCCGGTTGATGTTTTTTACACTATTCTAACAGAACTTAGTTTTTTATAAACTGTGTGTAGCTCATAAAAATAACCTATCGCAGTCATTTATAGGTTAACAAGGGAATCGAATTGACTTTTGTTGTATGTAGACCTCTGCATTTATGTCTTACTCTTTTCTTCCTATGGTATTTGTCTAGGGAATTCTGTTAGTTCTTATTAGTTCTAACTATTGTGTTCCATCTCACTGATTCAGGCATCATGCTGGCTTGTTTGTCTTTGTCTAACAACTTATTGTAGTCTGCTACAGTGACATCTTAAATGACTTTTGCGGACGAATAGCCACCGAAATGGATAGATTGGAATAAATTAAGAAGCACAAAATAGGTAGGAGATCGAAACAAATTGAAAGATGCGGAGCGACTGAAGAGCATTAGAGAAAAGCAGAAGGATTTCTTTAGTGAACTAGAAGTCCACAGGTATTTTTTTTTCCTATATCAATATCATGATTTGTAGGGTGTTAGCACATGCTATTTATCACATTCTTTTACTTTTTTCAATTTTATATCTTTTCATGATGGTTTCAGAGAAAGGCTGCAAGATAGGTTTTAATTAAGAGAGCGCTGGAAAGGATTTAATAGACATGTGAGGAAATTCCATAAGAGGAAGGAAAGATTTCATCGTGAGAAGATAGAAGACAGGATCCAACGGGAAAAGATTAATTTATTGAAAATTAATGGTGTTGAAGGATATCTCCGCATGGTTCAGGTGTTGCACGGTCCATATTTTTATAAATATATTGGGAGCCCATTAAATCCCTCTAATATTTGGGAATTGTTCATCAACTGTGCTGTAGGATGCAAAATCTGATCGGGTTAAACAACTACTGAAAAAGACTTAAAAGTATTTGCAAAAGCTTGGGTCCAAATTAAAGGACGCTAAGACAATGGAGACACTTTGAAAGTGACATGGACGAGAGGAAATGGGCCTTTATCGAGGAGAATGAAGATTCTGTTGAGAACGAGGATGAAAAAGATCAGGCTAAGTTTTTTTATTTTTTTATTTTTCTTGTAGATTCCTTTATATGTTTTTTTGTTATGGTTATTTGGACAGTGCTAGATCAAGGTCATCTCTTAACCATTTACGTTCGGTTTCTGCAGCACTATTTGGAAAGCAATGAGATGTACTACATGATGGCACATGGGTAATCTGAAAAATCTCACCCTTATTAGGGATTATTTCATGCATTATTTACTGAATTTTAAGTGAACTGAAAACTGCTCATGAGCTTTATTTGACTTTTATTTCCCGTATTTATTATGATCACTGAGGACATTTACTACTTAAATGCATGTATGTCCATTGTACTGCTCCATTGTTTTCTTCTCTTTTTGTCTTTTATTTTCAATTTGCCTTTTTACACGACATCTTTGAGTCTTTCATTCCATTTATCTTATTACATGACACTCTTTGAACACGAGACAATATGTTCATGCAAAAATATGTTATAATTTATGTGTTTATCAGATTGTTTTTCTTTGTTTGCAGTGTAAAAGAAAACATTATTGGGCAGCCAACCTGCCTCGTGGGTGGAAAACTGAGAGAGTGAGGGATATTTACTCTTCAATTATGCAGTCGAGATGATATATGCTTTGGTCACGTTTCGGATCAAATAACTAATCAAGGTTGTTCAGGTCAGTTTTTCTGTACCCAGTTGTGGCTAGCTGTGAAGGTTTTACTTCTTGTAATTGTTCAAA